CCAGTAATGTGAGGGAAAAGCTCCAGAGGCTGCATCCTCCCCTGGGCTTTGTCTCAGTATCCTGCTAGGTCAGGAGGCAGCCAACACTGGAACGAGAGTTCTAGAGGGACACAATTAATGCCAGTACAGCCAAGTTCAAATTGCTTCCTGGATGGGAGTGGCAGAATAAACCAAATAAGCCTTCTCACCTTATCGCCTCTCCATAAGGAAGCTAGTTAAGTCAGCCTGTGTGCCAGGGTAACTCCTGACTACCAACTCGGTGAGGTACAGAGGCAAGAAAGGCCCACATAGTCGATGCCTATGGCTAAAAATAGAGTCTGAGTTTTTCGAGGGATGGTATTTTATGGATGTGAGTTAGTTACTTATCCGTTTAAATTAACTGCATACCAAACTCCCATCAGGGCCAGGCCAAACTAATCAACTTTTTAATCTCCTGTCCTATGTCACCTCAGCACACTTAAGACACACTGCTCACAGAACACAGTTTGATTAACTAAACAGTGCTCTTTGCTGTATTTAGTGTAAAATGCTATAGGAATTCATTTTGTATTTTGCTTTACTGCTATATAATTCTGGTATAAAATTGAGTGATTTCTCAAGCTGTGGTATTTAAAACGATCTTTATTAATTTGTTGCTTTTTAATCTGCAAATTATGCGGTCTTTCCTGATGGAAAAAGTACTATTAAAAACACTTGTTGAACGAAATTAGCTATGAGGTGCCACTGAAATCCGAGGCCCTTGTCTACCACAGCCTTTCTGATTTCTCTGCCACAGTGTAATCCGTGATTAAGTATGGCTTCTAGAGAAACGGAGTCTATATGATAACAGCAGAACCATGAAGATAAGCATTTATACTTTAGGGTAAATTAAATTATTGGCAAAAAGATAGCCCAGTTGATTAGAAATGTGGATATGTTCACACTGAGTTACAACTAATCATACTATACTTTTCAAATAAAATGTAATTGGAAACAGCAACCATTTTCTTCACTTTTCCTTTAGTTATACATCTTCTTTATCTTGGCAGAGAGACTAAAGAACACAAGTCTAGGAAGTCAAGTTGCCTGGATTAAAAACCCTTTGGCTCTGCCACTCACTTGCTGTGTGACCCTAATCAGTTCACGTATAGCTCTCTGGACCTCAGTTTCCTCATCAGTAAAATAAGAGAATTATTCCAAATGATGTCTAAGACCCAGTCCTCCATGACTAAGCATTATTAGTGTTTGCCAATATCCAGTTCCCCTCCCCTTCTGGAGCCACATGACTAGTTCTGGCCAATCATATATAAGGATAAGTGTTTGCCATTTCCCGGCTATAGCAACCTATATATAATTCTTCAGCTTCCCTGCCTGCCAAGACAATAGGGAAGCTTCCATGTTCCAGGTGGTGCAGCCAGAAGATAGTGAACCCACTCTCTGCCTGGACCTCCTTTAAGCATATGGCATAAGCATAAAATAGATTTGAGTCATGTTAAGCCATTGGAGTTTTGAGGCTAATTTGTCCTGGTGCATAACCTAACTTATCCTAACACATCAGATCTAACTTTCTATGGTTTTGTGGGTCACTCTTTCCATGTTCTAGAGATTTTTTTTTACTCTATTATATGTGGATAAGAGTACTATGAAGGAATTTGAAGCCCACAACTTTTTTTCAAATGGTTAAATAAGTTGGTACCTATTAAATCAGTCTTTAAACACAAATCCCTATCATTACTCTCTGTTTCAGCTTGTTTCTCTGAAAGATTGATTTCTTACACACTTTCTGATCCCCAATTATTTTGGCTCTAATTTTTTAATGGAGAAAGTAGCTGGTTTATTTCCTCATTCAGAGTATCTCTCCCTAGCTGTTTTAAGCATGAAATTGTATAGAAAAGTACAGCTTTCCATTGTTTCTAACTTTTAAAAAAAGTCTTGGCAGTCCGTATAAAGAGATGAATGTTACCATTGCCAGGTGTCTCCAAGGAAGATTCAAACAAAGCCCGTGCCTTGAGCATGAAGTAGATCTGTCTTTATGATAAACTTTCTTGGAAGCAGTACCCAACTCATTGGCTTACACTTTAAGATGTTTTGGTTGAACACAGAAACCACTGTGTTGAATGATAGATATAATTGTATTGAACAGTGTCTTAATGCTGTGAGAATAAAAACTGCAAAAAAAAAAAATCTGCTAAAAGGAATTTCAGTTTACAGTTTTTCATATCATAGAAAATGATGACATTTCCATGCATGAAATATAATCTGATTTTGCCTGGGACTTGAGGGCAGGGTGAGGTACATAACTTATGAAACCAACGCAAAGTGAAAATGTGGGGTCCGTTGTTCAAAAAGTAGGATGAAAATGTGCAGTTAAAGGTCCTAAAATGCAAAGCTTTTTCTTTTAAGAAGAAACGTATAAAGCATAACCAGTAATGGTGATTCGTGAGTAATAACATACACCTGCAGATAGCAAAAAAATGTATATTTTTGTGGTCATAATTTTATATAACAAATAATAATACTTTGCTAATGTGATAACTTGACTGATCCTAAGATTTTTCTGGCTGGCTTTTCTTTAAATTCATTTATTAGATCATCAAAATTGATTCATTTAGCAAGTTTATTTTAAATGATACAATTAAAAGCAAATCAGTCACTCTCGGCAAATGAAATAGCGCACATAATTTCTGGCAATTTTTAATTTTGAGAAGAATATTTCTGCTGATACTACTGACACTGGAAGTGTTAGGGATATGTTAAAGGCTCTGACAAAACTGGGATAGATTTCTGATAAATGATTTAAAAATATAAATTTCAGTATCTCTTGAGCTGATGACACAGAGCAATTTTTCTAAAAAGATTCGATTCTTTATACACATTAGCTTTATGTGTGTCAGAAAATCTAATTTTAAGTATAAGTTTGTACTGTGTTGTTTTTCCCTGGCTTTTCCTATAACTTGTAGAGGTCATACAAGAAACCAAAAGTCACTTAATGATTTGTATATAATTCTAAACTCCTACTTTTGCTTTCTATTGCTGTATCTTTCATGATGTAGGAAAATTAATTTTAAAACTGTCTTCCTCACTAGTTCATTTGAAGCTGCATGTGAAAATAGTGTTCTTTTCCATCAGATGCGACAGTCTTTAACATTTAATTGCTATTTCTGAACCTGTGGATATTTGCTTTGCAATGATGCAGCAGTTTTTAAGACCAGATTCTAAACTCCTCAAAGAATTCTGATATTTCTTCGGTATGCTTTATTGCAATGTCCATGTATATACTTTTATTTTATGATAATTTACTAACGTGTTATTGCCTAAACACCACCATTCCCATCTCCGCGCTCAGGCCAGAGAGCTAATGTTTCGCCTTGGGGACAGGATCTGGGAAAAGACAGGCAAGCCAGCCTCTCACCGCTGCTGCCGCTGCTTGCCTTCACCATAACCGTAACCAATCTGGGCCCAGGTCCTAGCCCAGCCACACCCCTGGGGCCCTGCAGTGCCCCAGGCTGCTTCTGGTATGAATGTGCACACCAGGAAGGCAGGCCAGCTGTTTGGCATAGGCACTGCCCATTGCCCACTGTGCCTGTGGGTCCAAACCCACATATGCATACCCAGCACATCTCCTCTGCTAACACACCTGCTCCCTGGTCTCATCAGACTTCAAAAACACAAGGTCAAAGATAAAATCAAGAGCTTCAAGACCACAACAGAAGAGCATTAAGCCAAGTCCAGGGCCCTGTGCAGATGCACAGGTCACACATGCCCTGCTTGAGGCTTCATGACGTATCTGTAGAAATTACTTGCCCCTCATATGAATGAATGTGGAGGCAGATACATTTATGCCTTTGACATTCCATACTGGACATACATACAAATAGGCCGTGGATGAGGATACATATTATTGGCCACCACTAGTTTCTCTGCCTCTATGCTGCCCTAAGCTTACCTTTGTTTTGTTTTGTTTTGTTTTATTTTTATTTAGAGAGAGAGAGCGTGCGCACATGGGCAGGAGAGGGGCAGAGAGAGAGGAAAAGAGAATCCCAAGCAGGTTCCTAGCTGTCGGCATAGAGCCTGATGCGGGGCTCAATCTCATGTACCGTGAGATCAAGACCTGAGCCAAAATCAAGAGTCAGACACTTAACCGACTGAATCATCCAGGTGCCCCTAAACTTACCCTTTCTGATGAAAATGCTAGACACCAAGGCAGACTTTCTTTGGAGGGGGCTCTTTATAGATTCACATGAGAGTGTCTTTTCCCAAGGTTCTAGAGAAAGTGGGAGTAAGATAGCAGGAAGGGAACTAGTATTTACTGAGTACTTATTATGTTATTTTATACCAACCGATTAATTTAATTGTAACAGCAGTTCTGTTAGCCTTTTATGCATGAGAAACTGAACTGAGAGGTTGAAGAACTTTCCCAAGATCATACAGCCTGCAAATGGTAGAGCAGAGATCTAAACCAGGTCTGGCTGGCTGCAAAGACTTTGAGAGGCAGCTTTAGTGTCCTGGATGTGAGCACTGGAGACAAACTACCTGGGTCCAAATCCTGACTTGGTCATATAATGGCTTCATGTTGGATGAGTTACTTCCTGAGCCTCAGTTTCCTTGTGTATATAGTGGAGATCAGACTAGTATAATACCTACTTCACTGGGTTGTTTAGAGGGTTAAGTGAAGGTTGAATATATATAAAGCGTTAAGAACAGTGCCTGACACTTAGTAAGCTTGCAATAAATGTTACTATGTCTGTCATTACTATTGTCAAATTCCTTTGCCCACTCCACAGTCTCCCTTCACAGGTTAGAAAAGAATGTTAACGATCAGCAGAAGAGAAGAGCTTACAGACAGACAGCAGGAGCCTTCTGCTGTTTACCTTCTCTAAAGTTCCCCTAGAAGGCCCCCTTGGAAATGACGTGAGCGGTGATCTGATTCTCACCCCAGGCAGCCCAACTCTGTAGGCTTCTTGGATTCTAATGTTCCATCAGTCTGATCATTTTCTGTCTGGGTTGTGTGTGTGTTGCAGGTATGAGACCTCTCTGTTGGATTTGGTTCAATCTCTGAGTCCAAAGTCTGCTCCCAAACCTCAGCCCCATCCCTCCAGAGAAGCTGGGGCCTGGAATCACAGTACTTGCCGATTTAGTCCTCGAAAATCAATCTGGAACAAGGTGGGGGCAGGCAGGACCCCTGAAGACCTGGAGGAGAATCAAATTCTGGAAGATATCTTTTTCATTTGACATTGAAACACATGCTACAAAATTTCCATCAGAAATGTGTGGGCTTCTTTATGTACTGATCTAGGGTGTTAAATTATTTGATGGCAAAGTAACCGTGTCTCTCCCATACTAGCATCCTGTTGTGTATTGAACACAGAAATCATTCTACGAACCCGGAGTGGTTTTGGTCAGACCAATCAGTAGGTAACACATTAAGGGGTTATGGGGGTGGAGGATAGTATCTTTTCTAGGCCAAGCCTTGTCATATTCGGCCTGATTTCAAGAGTGTTTCCTTCTCAATACTTTATTGGAAAAGGTTGGCTTTCTTTCGTATACAAGGAAAATGTTTTCACTGAAAGATCCCTTTGATTTCAAAGTAGCCGCTTTGTAACATAAGCAGTTTCAGAAAGACCCTTTACCTCTCCTTTACCTCTGTTCCCTCACTGCCTGCCTCTTTGTACGCGTAGCCATTGAATCCCAAAGTTGGAGCTCCTGTGCCTATGCTCACAAGCAACCCTGGGGACTAATTGTGAGCCAGTATCAGTAGTCATCAGCCCAGCAGCTGCCCATCCCTCAACCAAGGGGCACAATGGGCTAGGGGGAGGGACCCACCCAACCCTTGGAAACCAGCATTAAATCACACAACAGAGTGACTACCCTCAGGAAACAAAATGGAGGCACAGGCCTAAAGTGTTTTTCCTGCCGTCCACCCATTTCCCAGGATAAATAAGAGCAATATCTCAGTACGTCTTATTGGCCCAAGTGTCTATATTCTTCACTCTTCGGAACTGCCCATGGCTGTATCTGGGGAAGATGGCAGAGCTAGAGAGGGGCATCAGCTACCACAGGCTGATAGGCTCTCCCCAGGCCTCCCTCCTACCTATGAGGATCAAAGGCCCTGGTGACCAGGCCTTTTATGTGCTCTGCTCAGGATCACTGTCCCACTGTCTCATGACCTCAAAGAACCATCTCTACTTGCCAGATTCTCCTTCACCACCCCAGGCAGAGTCTCTCCATCTTTCCCACTGGGCCTCCATTTGACCCGAGAAGGTCTGTGGAAGAAGTACACTTGAGGCCTCGTTTTCTCTCTGTTCTCCTATTCAGCAGAGCTCTTGAGATGGGTCCTTCAGCTTACAATGGGCTCTGGTGGGCACTCATGCTGATCGGCAGCATGATGAGCCCGGTAGAGCCAGTGAGTTTAAAACTTCTCGGTCATTGGAAGCAAGGGGAAAATGTGTCCCCAGATGTGTATGCTCAATGACTGTATTTGATCTGGAAAGTGTTGCTTTTTTTCTCTCCCTTTCACCAGTCCCAGGCTTGAAGTAGGACCAAGAGTCTTTGTCAGTTAGTGAGCGTTGGTAGCCAAAGTCAGGCCACCCAGTGCAAACTGCATTTAGTGAGCCTGCATGGCCTTATCAAAACTAGATTATTTAAGCCTACAAAAGCCTTGTTAAGCAGATTCCTCATCTGAATGGATCTCAATTTCACTGTCTCTTCAGGCTGAGGCCCTATCATCTCTACTCAGCCTTCCTTTACTTGGGTCTTTTTGCTCTTTGGAAAAAAGAATGGAACCTACCAATGCCATATCCTTAATTCGAGGTCAAGATTAACTAGGTTTAGGCATTCAACTGAAAGGTTGAAAAAATACTGCCAATTACAATGTCCTTTTAAAATTCACCCCTGTGAGAGTAACTGAGTCCATTTCATCCCATTTCAACAAGTGTTTGGAGTTTCTTTTGGTGTGGCAGAAGGGGTAGAAGCTGAGAGCCTTCAGCCATTTTCTCAATTAAATTTAAGTTTCCAGAACTTTCTTTTCCTTGGCCCAGGTGTCATGAGTACCTTAAGTACATCCCCCCTTGGATCAGCCATAACGACACTCTCCCGTTTGGACGCCGGTGTCTTTACAGCTCTCCAGAGTAAGAGGTGCCAGAAGGACCAAGAAAAGGATTATGATTTCTTTAAGAAGCTTGTTTGCCTTTAGAAGAATCATAAGTGAGATTTAAGCTGAGGTCTTTTGGGGTGAGTCTATCACATGCCACAGATTGGAGTTTAATTGCTTCTTTACCTCCCCCTGCATGAGCAATTTGGAAGAGCCAAGATGAATTTTCAGCAGAGCATCAATCAACGTATTTTTCATATGCTACATTCCCCCACCAGTTGCCTTTCTGTATCCTGTGGGCATTTCCTGTGTGTCAGGGCAGTAGGATGTGAATTTGTGTCTAATCCAGTATCTTCCTTATGAATTGAACAATGTATGTTAACATCTTACTCTGTCTTGGAGATACATATGTGGAGATACATATATATATGAAAAGGTTCTTGTAGGACCTCGAGGCTGTTGTAGAGCCTGGACGCTTGACCTAATTGCAGATATCGTATGAAAAGAGGAGCAGACACAGAGGGGTCAGGCTTTCTTCCTGGTAAAGTACTCCCAAAGTGACTGCCTCCAGCTGCTTCCTCAAAGCAAGACTGGATACGTATTAGGAGAGCTGCACATAGGGCCACAACATTGCCTACCCTGCTACCCACTATTCTGTGAGAGAAAAAACAACCAGTGTTTGCAAAATGGGAAAAGGCAAAGTATATCCACCAAAGCTCCCTACAAGGGCCCAAAGTGCCTGATTTAGGAAACTAAGGTTAATCAAGGAAAAGCTTTTGCTGACAGTCATCCTTCCTGGAGGCACACTTGTGTTCATCCAAACAGACCCCATGGTGGGGACTTCTCTAGAAAACCCCAAACGTCACGAGGAAGGAGGAGCCCTCTCCTTCAGAGCTGCCCTTGGCTGTTGGCCCAGCTCCCAGCACCTGGCTCCTACGAGAGATTTGCTAGCCAGAGACTCTGGGAAGCAATAGGCCTAAAGGAGAGAGCCGGATGAAGTCTGCGGTCATTAATGAGGTGGAGAGACTACAGCAGACTCCTCCCAGCTCGTGCTTTAGCCTCCCCTCAGTGCATATTGTTTCTAATGTGGGCAACTGTTCATATACATGAGAGATTTTAAGTTAATCAGTTAGCTCCATGGCTATTCTCCTCATGTGGTTGTGGTATCGAATCATCCCTTCGACACCCCTCCTCAGATCTGTGAGGCGTAGCTTGGAAGCAAGAGCAGTACCACAAGTTATCAAAATGTTGTTTTCCTCAGTATGTGTTAAACATCAGGAGCATGGGTCAGCTCAGAGAGAGGAAACGGTTTGCCACAAACTGTTAGGTTTTCCTGGTTGACTCCAACCCACTCCCATCACGTGGACCCCAAGTCTCCTCTAGGCTGTGTGGTTGCTGGAAAGGAAGTTTCAATGTACGTGCACCCCTGAGTCCCTTCCATGTGCCTGTCACCCAAATTGTTCAGCAAGGAAGAACTATCACAGCACTCGGACACAGGAAAAATGGTCCTGTCTAGGTGGCTTTAGGTGCTAAGAGATGGTGGGGAGGGCTTGTGTGCCTGAAATGCCCAGTTTTGAGATCAGACTCGTGGATCCAATTAACAGCCAGAGACTCTATCCTGCCCCTTTTTCCCCAGGTCAATCTGGCACCTCCCCCTGATCAAGGGGACTGCAGGTATCCCTCAGAGGAGGAGGTGGCAAGACCACAGTCCCCACTCAACCAGCTCCGAGCCCTGTGCGTCATCTTGTTCAATGCTTATGATATTTGTACTTTTAAAAAATCATTTCAGGGGGGCTCTTGGGTGGCTCAGTCGGTTAAGCATCCGACTCTTGATTTCGACTCAGGTCACGATCTCACAGTAAGGGAGTTCAAGCTCCATGTCAGGCTCCGCACCGACGGGGCGGAGCCTGCTTGGGATTCTCTCTGTGCTTCTCCCCCGCTTGCTCGCTCACTCTCTCTCTAAAAATAAATAAACTTTAAAAAAATAATAAAAATACAAAACCATTTCCGTATATAAGTGTCTCTTGTAAGCCACCTTTAATTCTTTGTGGAACGAGGACAGGGAAACATGTACACGTGCCTAGTGTTCAGCATCTTATCTTGTGCACCGATAACGAACATGAGGCCTGACCGACCCTAACTGAGGCCATCGGCCAGTAAAGAATAGAATTCCAACTCAGAATCTGGGGGTGGGAGGGCCATTACTCCCTACTCCCCCCTCTGTCTTCCGGTCAAACCCGAGTAGTAACGAGTCCACCTCCTACTCCTCAATCTGCCCCCTCCGCCCTCTCTGCTGACACGTCTCTAGGACAACAGTCTCTGTGTTGGGCTCCCTGCTAGATGGCCTGGACTCATCCTTGAAAGAGTGACTTAACCCTCTTTGCCTCGCTCTTATCTTTAAATGGGGATCGTGACAGAGGCTACCTCGGAATTGTCGTGAAGGTGCAGCGAGCATGTCGAGCACTCAGCCCAGGTAAATAAGCACTCCTAAGGGTTACCTGTTAATTTTTCTCCGTGAAGCGACCACAGTCATCTTGCCATGTCACGCCCTGGCTTAAAGCGTTGGAAAGTTCCAGTACTTCATTTCCTATTGCACTTAAGTGGGAGCGTGGCCTTCTGAGCATTAATGCATGAGGCTCTTCATGGTTTGGCCCCTTCGTTTCCCTGCTGTTTCTTTCTCTTGACTTCTGTGCTCCAACCACTGTGAACTTCCTTAGTTACTGAAGGCAGCGTGATATCCTTCTTGCGAGCTTCTCATGAGCTTTCTTAGCTCTCTGTATATCCTCTATCACAACACTTACTGTGCTAGGACTGTCTGTTTATCTGTTCCCTCCTTTAGATGGTAGGCCCCATGGTGGCCAGAATAAGATGTTGGTCTTAGCCATCACTCAGTCCCAAGAAAGGAGCATGATTCCTGGCACGTTACAGACTCTCATCATTATCAGTTAGATGGATAGGTAGGTGCACGGGTGGAAGGGAGGAAAGGAGACTAGGAAGAAATTAAACAGATGTGTGCCTCCAAAGTTCAGTACCCTGAATACTCCAGGCTGCTTACACCTCTCTCACAGGGAGAAAGATAGGGCTGTACTGAGGGGTCTGGGGACATTCTATTGCTCCCTCTCTATTCCCACACTGACTCACA